TTCTCTTTCTTTCTTTCTTTCTTTCTTTCTTTCTTTCTTTCTTTCTTCTTTCTTTCCCTTCCTTCCTTCCTTCCTTCCTTCCTTCCTTCCTTCCTCCCTTCCTTCCTTCCTCTCTCTCTCTCTTTCTTTCTTTCTATCTTTCTTTCTTCTTTCTTTTTCTTCCATCCATCCTTTTTCTCTTCCATACAATCTTTCTCTCTCTTCCCTCCCTCCCTCCCCCCTCCCTTCCTTCCTTCCTTCCTTGCTCAGGAAGTATTAACAAATTTTGAGCCTCTTACCTAGCTACCAAGAGGCCTCTCAGTCAATGACTAATGAGCTTAAGTAACTAAGTTTCTTTTCTTAATCCCCTCCTGCTATCAACAGGAGTAAATTGCAAGAAGGCTTCAGCTTTTGGCCTAGAATGAACAAAACCAAGTTAACTGCCCAAAGCTATCAGCTTCTACCCCCAGATAGAGAGAGTTAAATAGCCAGAATCCATCAGTTTCTGGGCCCCAGAACAGTAAGAGAGTGTTAATGGCCAGAGGTCTTTAGCCTTTGTCCTTCATCTGTCACTGTGTCTCACCTCAGTACCTGACTGTAGAAGATAGGACCCTGGTCAATTGCATCTCTTTGTGTCTATTCTTATGAGAGTTGGGTATGTCCTATCTCTGACTGATATAAAGCAGGAAAGAGAAATAAAGATAGAGAGAGAGGTAGAGAGAGAGAGAGAGAGAGAGAGAGAGAGAGAGAGAGGAAGAGAGAGGAAGGGAGGAAGGGAGGGAGGGAGGGAGAGAGAGAGACAGAGACAGAGACAGAGACAGAGACTTTGGCTTCACATTCTCTAAAAACATGGTAATTCTGTGGTTGTCACAGCGTACAGATATCCTGCTGAAATCTACCATCTGGATGCTAATACTGAATGTCATGAATTGACTGCCTTCTCTCCTCTCATGTCCCCTATACAGACTCCTGTATCTGTTTGCAGTCAAAGTTGTTCACTTGGATTTAGGAAAACACCTGCTGAAGGGAAACCATTCTGTTGTTTTGATTGTTTCCCATGTCCAGATGGAGAGATTGCAAATGAAACAGGTATTTATAAAATGATTCTCAATGTGGAAATTTCTAGAAATGTTTCTGATTGTGGAAATTTCTAGAAATGGTTCTGAATGTGGAAATTTCTAGAAATGGTTCTGAATGTGGAAATTTCTAGAAATGGTTCTGAATGTGGACAATTATAAAAATGAGTCTGAATGTGGAAATGAGGCACACACAGGATAGGGGAGAGTAACACAGCACATGAAGACACAGTTACAATTTTGTAGCTAACTCCCAATACTTTAAAGCATGCTCTTGTGGGGTGTAAGTGGCAAAGGCTTTAATCCCAACTCTCAGTATGTGGATATCTGAGTTCAGGGCCAGCCTGATCCACAGAGTGAGTTCCAGGACAGCCAGGGCTGCACAGAGAAATCCTGTCTTGAAAAACTAAACAAAAACAAACAAAAATCTTGATTTCTACCCAAACATTTTTGTTACTGATGCTTGTTTATCTGATTGTTTTATTTGATATGCTGTGTGTGTTGGTCTCAAACTCAAGCTCCAGCAATTCTCCAGGCTCAGCCTCCTGGGTGACTAAGACCACAGGAGTGTGCTCCTGCATCTGCTCCTGCTTTGTTTTCTGCACATCTGCATGTTTAAGTTTCTTTTCTTTATATCCCTGCTTTTCACTAGTGGTTCTATTCCAGCTGTAACAGTATTAATGAATAAAGTTAGTGCTCTCTGTATACCATAAACAGTTAGTGCTCATTGTTTACACTAAACTATGAGATGCATTATAAAATGTGACCTTATTTCATGCTACAATAAATACTAATAACTAACATTTTATTTACAAAGAAATTAAATTTCAGAGAAACTCTATAAATTGCTATGATCATACAACCTAGAGAAAGCTGAGACAAAATTCAGACTTGTCAAGTGAAAAAAACTGATAAAAACTTTGTATCAGAGTGACATTGATACAGAACTCTTTTCCTGGGACCCCGAGACCACTTCCTTTGGAAAGTAGTAGTATCTCCATAAATATTTGTTTATGACTAAATAAGTATATCCTGTATGATTTAAGAGTTTTCTTTGTAATTAATTTGAATCTTGTGGAAGCTCTCATTGTGTGTTCCCTGGTACTATAAGCTAGTATAAGGCCTCTGTACAACTGAACATTGAGAGATTCCAGAGGGTGAGTGATGTGCAGTGCTGTGAATGATGTCCAGGTCTCTGGTTGATGTGCAGAGATGCTCTGACCATTGTCCTCTTGTGGACCATCTGTCACTTCTTCCTCAACTTGATTTTAATTGCAAAGCCTCCCCAGAGCACAGCAGCAATGCTTCCTTCTAGTTTTTGTATCCTCACTTCACAGTGATATCGATTTCAAAGTAGGTGTCTTGTCATGACTATCTTATTTTCCTGAATGAAATCATTACTTACCAAAGTCTATGTAAAACGATGTTCTTTGCTTTTTTAAGTGGCAAGGTAGTGGTAGGCCAGACTGACTATTTCCTGAGTCCTGGGCTTACAGACAAGCACTGCCAAGTCCTTATTCTTCATACTTGTTTTAAAAAAATTAATTTTGTATTGAATCTTTGTGAATTTCACATCATAAACCCACATCCCACTCATCTTTCCATCCCTACCTCATGTATGTCACTGCATGGCAGTCAAGTGCTTGCCACTGTGCCATGTTCATGCACTTGGGGCTGGGCTCAGTTGTGGCCCATAGTATACCACCATGGTCAACTCTACTGTGATGCTCACAGTTAGAACAGAGCTCTTTCTGCTGAATGCTCCAGCTGGTCAAGTACAAAAGGGAGAAAGAGTATCTCCCCTCATCTACCCATTGCAGAGATAAGAGATAGGGATAAGTCTCTCATAGTGGGGTGCAGGACTCTCCTGTTACTCCAGAGATGTGCTGGGCCCACACTCCTGAGTAATACATCTCTCCAGGGGGTGGATTCAGCTCTCCTGTTTTCATGTTCCTTGAGCCAGCTTTCCCACAATGTCCTGGTAAGGATGGGCCCATCTCTGCACAGCCCTCAGACATCAACATATCCCTAAGAGACAGGCCAGACCAGGGACATCAGCCTGGCCTTGGTAACAGACTCCTGCTGCAGCAGGGTCACACAACTGGACATGGCCTCCAGTGGCAGCACAGGCCAGGACCCAATCATAGTCCCAGGTGGCAACACCTTTTCCTGATGGGTATTTCTAATTACCCTCCAGTCTTCAGTTATGATTAAATTTCTCGTGTCCACAGCAATTTTTACTTTTCTTTTCCATTTCTTCACCACCTAATTGTTCCTCTTTGTGGTGCACTGGGTCTCTAAGTGTCTGAGGATGTCTCTAGAGTGTTCTCAGGAGGTATTTCCTGCTCATGCTTTATAGTGCTAGGCAAACATTATCTTGGGCAAGGTCTGCCAGTCCTCCCCAGCCTTGCACAGTGCCTGAATCATGGTCATCTCATGGTCTCCAGGTTAGCTCCCTGTCCAGGACCAATGGCACTGGTCTGGTGATTATCTTGGTCTTCCTCCTCATCTGGACTGTTGCCTTTAGTCCCAGAAATAGTTCTTCTCGTAGCTGACTTACTACAGGTCCTGGGTGCCATTGAGGCCTCTATGGCACTGGATTGGTTGTCTCTCAACCTCTCTTTATTTTTTGGAATATGCAATTGTTTTCCCTCCTTTCTTCTTTATTTCCTTTGCTTTGCTTCGCTTCGCTTCGCTTCCCTTCCCTTCCCTTCCCTTCCCTTCCCTTCCTTTCCCTTCCCTTCCCTTCCCTTCTCTTCTCTTTACTTTTCTTTTGTTTAATTTTGAGATGAGGCCTCACTGTAAAATCTTTCTGGCCTGTCTAGGAATGTGGTATGTAGACCTGGCTTCTGGAAAAGTTCCTGACTCTTTGGCTGCTAATCATATGCTCTGAAGGTAGTCTTTGCCTCTCTCCTCTCTGCCACCTAATATTGCAGGTGTAACACAGCAGCTCCACTTGCAACCCTTCTAGGAGTAGGCCTTACTTGTACTATTATAAATTTCAAATACCACCATTTTCTTAGAAAAGTAATTCGCTGATAGACTAAAAAGACAAAAAAAAAAAATAAATCTTCCTCATACTCCTTAGGAATTCCATCTCTTTAAAGTGTCTTTAGGTTACCTAATAGGCTGTGGGAATCTTTCCCTCTTTACCCCAAAGCAGTATTTTCTGAGCCATCAACAGAAGGCTTGATGTTTCCAAGAATATGTGACTGAATCTCTTTTTCTTCATAGTCTAACATCTACCAAATATTGAAGTACATTATCCTTGAACTTCAGTAGTTTTAAATTCCTAATCTGGAACAATAATTTTTGTGCTCTGCCTTAAACTATTAATTTTGAAAAAGCAGTTTCCAAGTATGCATGTTTACATTTATAGAAAATCAGGATTTTAGTTGGGTGACATAATCCCAGTTTACTAAATGTGTCTGAGAAAAATATTTCCATCATCATCATGCATTTAACACATTTTTGTGCTGAGACTAGAACCTAAAATGTTGTATATGCTAGGCATGTGCTCTAGACTCAGCTGTATCCACAGATCATGCAATTATCACCACAACAATGTTTCATTTCATGAACTAAATTCAATCCGGCTCACCATATACTTTTTCAAACAGATGCAGTACTGGTTCTAGGCCCACTGACTTTTCAATGGCTGGTAATACTCCACTATATTCCTTGTAGAACATTGCATCTATTCTCCTGTAGGAGTCCAACCAGTTTTTATTAAAGTGTATCATTTTTCTTCAAAGCAGTAAGTGTCTAGCTACTTATATCAAATGAAATGTTCATCAAAATCAATGAGGACAATAAGCAGAATTGATATCCAAGCACATAGACTTATATCATGACCATGAAGAAACCATTATCCCTGAAAACAACATGTCTATACCACTGGAAAATTTTGGTTTGAATTCCCCTTTGGAAGAGAAATTAACAGTATAGAATGGTCAATACTGTGCTGGTATTTTAAAAAATACTTTTGGGCCATATAAGCTCACAAATGAATATGCAATAGTTTTCCCTCCTTCCTTCCTTTTTTTTTCTTTTGTTTTCTTTTCTTGTATTTTATTTCATTTTGAGACAAGGCCTCACTGTAAAATCTTTCTGGTTTTGCCAGGAATGTGGTATGTAAACAGGCTGGCTGGTAGTCTCCTTTGTGCTAGAATTACAGGTGTGCAATATGGTGCTTTGCTTTAGTTATTTTTCTAGTTAAAAATGGGTCCCATGCAAGTGTCTTTCAGAGTGAATGAATTATAAGCTTAGGGAATAAGACTTCCCATTCTACTGCACTCCTTCTAAATATTCAGAGACTTACCTTTACCTGTGTCTTTTTTTTTCTTTTAATAAAAAGATACTATGTGAAGAAAATTACTAAATCTTTTATGTAAAAGTACGGGAAACTCAGGTAACTTAAATATATGTAATAAATATTGGAAATTAAGTGCAAAATTATTTTTCCTTTAATAAAGTTCTAATTAGAGTTCAACCAAGCATATTAAAGAACTCACCAAAACAAGCAGATTTTTTTTATCCTAAGAAAAACTATTTACCTAAAATGTATTTCCTTCAGCATTATTTCTAAAACAACGATACACCCCCTGGTAAAAATCATAATGCAAGAATCAAAAGAAAATACCGCAGTTCCTAAACATAGATGTCAGTAAATGTTAGCAAGTTTTAGTTTCTAGGTGTTCCTGTCAGAGGCCTCCTTTGACAGTCTAGTTCTCTCTTGGAGGTAGCTGAGTGGGGAAAGAGTGTTGGCGGGGGAAAGACTTGGTTTAAGAGATATTTAGGATGTCTGTTTTATAATAAAACATTTTCCTGTTATACATCTAAGTTGCTTTGCAGTGATAGCTGGCCTGCCTCTCTCAGCTCCTCTTGAGGCCAGAAACTGCAGCCTCTGACATTTAGCACCTCATAGTAAACAGCTGGGGATTAAGTAAAGTAGCCTTTGTTCTTATCTCTACAGGAACTTGGAGGCTGGGACTCCCAGCCTGCTAGGGAAAGTCTCAGAAAGAAAAAAAGGACACTCTTCAAAGGGATTTTAATCTTTATTTCTAAGTTCTTCTCCTAATATTCTCTCTTTTAAAAATTCTATCTCCAAAAATTCCTTCTGAATTTTTAAGTTCCCTTTTAATTTCTTAGCTACTCTACTCTGCTGTCCCCCTTCCTGTCTTGCTCTCTTATACTGCTTTGATGTAATCATGGCCTACAAGGTATTCATTCCTATTTTGTTGCAGTTTCTATGGGAATAGATCACATGGTTTTTCCACCCATGTTCTTTATTTTTTTTTTTTACAAAAGTTCTCTAAAAGTACAAACATAAATTCAAATCATATATTGAATAAGAAGTTTACAACAGAGATTGTTTGCATATGTATCCATTAAAATACAACATATATTATCTGTCATTAACACCACAGGTTCACTGTCATTTAAAATCCATAATTTTTGTGACTAAGTTATTATTGAAGCTCTGTATAGAGAAACCCAGTCTTTCACTTACACTAAATCATTAGTTCCCTTTTCATGACCTTTGGTTAATTGTTTTACAACCTCTTGGAATGTTTTCTAAGTTGTAGATGCCTGCTTTCTATCTCAGAATCAATTTACTGGTGACAGCTGAGGACTGGCAGAGTTCTCATTGCAGTTTTAATAACAGAGAGGACTTAATAGCAGTCCTGTTATAGGGGACTTAATAATTACAAGTATAATTTTAGGGGTTCTTACAGAATCATCATTAAGAACTATAAATCATCTATTTGTCTATATAGAAAATCTATAAGAGTATAGATATTTGTTGATCTCTAGAAAGCTTCCCAAAATTGCTAATATCTGATTTGCATAAAGCTCCCCAAAATTTCTGTGTGTGTGTGTGTCTGTGTGTGTATGTATGTATGTATGTATGTATGTATGTATGTATGTATATATATACGTATGTATGTATGTATGTATGTATGTATGTATGTATGTATGTATGTATATATGTCTAATAACAGAAAAAGCATATTAAGATCAGGGATCCTTCCTCATATATAATTCCTTTAGTTTTGCCTAGAAGGGTGTCTTATTTAGGATTTTCTGGTGTGAACAGACACCATGATCAAGGCAAGTTTTATAAAGGATAACATTTAGTGTGACTTGCTTACAGGTTCAGAAGTTCAATTCAGTATCATCAAGGTAGAAACATGGCAGCATCCAGGCATGCGTAGTTCAGGAGGAGCTGAGAGTTCTACATCTTCATCTGAAGGCAGCTAGTGGTAGCCTGACTTCCAAACAGCTAGGGTTCAGGTCTTAGAGCCTAAGCCCTCAGTGATACACCTACTCCTACAAGGCCACACCTCCAAATAGTGCCACTCCCTGTGCCAAGCATATGAAACAATGACAAAGGGCAAATCCATGTTGACTTCACAGTCCATGGAAAAACCACCTCAGAAGGACACCTGTTAGGTTTTACCTTCTCCTAGACACCTCCTGGATGGCACCTTTCATAATAACAACCAAGAGCCTGCAGGGATGGGAGCACTACAGATCATTGTGATAGAGAAGGTAGAAAGGTCATAAGAGCCAGAAAGGTGACGTCTGTAGGGAAACAGAATTTGTCAAGCATGACAGGGTCCTCGAGCACACAAATTCACAGAGGAATGCACCAGATCAAACCAGATAAAGACAAATTAAGTCAGACAAAAATAAAAGCATGGATAGAGGACACGATCACAAGCTCCCACCACTAGCTAGAAGCTATTGGCAGTTGATGGCTACTGGAGAAAGTCAGGTTTGTTTATTTGTTTGTTTGTTTGTTTTCATATATGTGACCCTGATAGGCTGCCCATGTTATGGCAGATGGCTCTGTAGTGATATGCATACAGGAAGGATTAAATGAAGTCAATGGGCTTAAATAAAAAAGAGCAAGTAAAGTTGGGAGAAAAAAATGTTGGAAGGAGAGAGAGGAGTGGCAGAGGAAAGATATTGAAGGTAGATTAGATCAAAGCACATGATATGCATGTATGATGTTCTCAAGTAACAAAATTTAAACAAACAAAGAGAACAAAGAATAGTAAAAGGTTCAAAATGAACTTTTTCTTTAACAAGTAATCAAATATGATGTCCAAATTTTCTGATTTCCCCTCAACATCATTTCCACATTTCTGCTTCTCTCATATTATTTAAGTCTGCTCACTTAGGAATATATTATGAATACAGTATATCTGTATTTTTCTCTCTTGAAAAAATTAACTTATTCATCTACTGTTTTCCAATATTATGTCTCAGTGAATATAACCAGGTATTTCTTTTAGAATTCAACAATTGTTCTGCACAAGATATATGTCCCATAGGTACATCTGGAGAGTGACAGGTGCAACGTAATAAACCAATCTGCCTCCCTTTCAGATATGGATGAATGCATCAAGTGTCCTGAAGATCAGTATCCAAACAAGCAGAGGAATCAGTGTCTCCCTAAAATTAAAGCATTTTTGTCTCATGAAGATACTCTGGGAGCTGTTTTGGTATCTGTGGCCATTAGTTTATCTGCCTTTTCAGTCATGGTTTTAGGAATATTTATCCGCTATCGGGATACACCCATTGTCAGAGCAAATAACAGAAATCTCAGTTATCTCCTCCTAGTTTCTCTAATTCTCTGTTTCTTTTGCTCATTAATATTCATTGGCCAACCTAGCACAATCACTTGTGTCTTGAGACAAATGATTTTTGGGGTTGTATTTTCTGTGGCCATTTCTGCTATCTTGGCAAAGACCTTCATTGTGGTTGTAGCCTTCAAAACCATCAAACCAGGAAGCACCTTACGAATGTGGATGGTGACTCGACTCTCAAATGCTATAGTCTGCTGTGGTTCCATCATTCAAGTGTGCATCTGCGCAGTCTGGTTGGGAACATATCCCCCTTTCCCTGATGTTGACATGCAGTCAGAGTTTGGACAAATCATCCTCTTGTGTAACGAGGGGTCCACCTTTGCCTTCTATTGTGTTCTGGGGTACTTGGGCTTTCTGGCCAGTCTCAGCTTGCTTATTGCTTTTCTGGCGAGAAGGCTACCTGACACCTTCAATGAGGCCAAAACAATCACATTCAGCATGTTGGTCTTCTGCAGTGTGTGGATTTGTTTTGTACCAGCTTACCTGAGCTCCAAAGGTAAAACCATGGTGGCCGTGGAAATTCTTTCAATTCTGGCTTCCAGCGCTGGCTTACTGGGCTGTATATGTCTTCCCAAATGCTATGTGATCCTACTGAGGTCAGGTGGCCATTCTAGAAAGAAGTTCTTTAAATGACTTCTTCTTTAAGACAAAGGAATTCATTGTGATTTGTTGAAATGAATGATGTAGGAATATTCAAAAGAGTGGTGTGCGTTTCACTAAATAATGGCAACTTCAATGGCGCCAACTAGACACAGTCAATCAAACCACCACAAGTTAGATAGTTGCCACCTACAGGTAAATTTTGGTGTGTATACTAGATGTTTTTTTAAAACCAATTTTAACAATTTTTTAAAAACATAATGTAAGAGGACTGGAAAAGATTAAGTTTAAAAATAAGAGTGCATCATTAGTCTGGAAAGAAAAGTAACAGATGTTTACAAATGTGCTTCCCCTCTGAGTCATATGCAGGGCAACTTTTTGTATTCCATGTGAACTAATTTCCATGTAATCACAATTCTGCAACAGAAATTTTATGGTCTTCTTCTCCTCTTTGAAGGCACCCCCAAGCAAGGCAATATAGAATGTAAGTCTCAGAGTCTTGGGAGGATTTTGTGCTCTTTCTATGCTCAGGTGGAATAACATGGATGAGAGCTTAGGCAGAGTCCCAGGGGAAACACGGACATCTTTTCCCTAAGGATAGTCAACATATCAGAGGATAGAGATCTCCTGAGACAGCAAACAGCCTTCATGGGAAGTGCTGTTCTCTATTAGAGTTAGGAGTTTCAAATTGTCTTCCCATGGTGAAAGCTCATATCATTTGCACCCATTGGAATCTCCCCTCAAGGAGGGAATGGGTGTGATGGTAGATGTGGGCACGGAGGAGTAGTATAAGGCCGGGGATTCAACAGGACATGGAGAATCATGGAATCATGCATCCTGGACCTTGAGGATTTTCAGGTATTTGCTTTTCTCTAGATAAGAATTTGCTTTATACATGATTGCCAGATTATACTAAGAGAAACTTCAGGTTGGACTTGCAACATTGGGAGGAATCACTGTTCAACCATGGTCAAAAGCATGCTCAGAAATGGCTACATGAACAAACTGGTTTTGTTTATGCTGTAGAACAAGACTTACTTATATCTCCCATAGTTTTCAACTCTAGAGCGTCTGAACACTGTAGTATTGGACACAGAACCATCGTTAGGCCAAGAAACATTTAAGGTATTCTGAGTCTAATTTGAGTCTCAATTATTGTTTATCTTTCACTTATGAAACATTTCATATTAAACTGAGTTGCTTCTGTTTGCCATAAAAACATCACAGAAAGTTCCATTGGAATCTGCTTTGACACGGTTAAAATAAAGTTTTTTTCAGTTGTATGACTTGATGGGCTTAGAAATACTTGTGTTCAAATTATATGCACTCATGGGGTCTTACCACCTTAAATAGGAAGATACTCCACTGTGAAAAGCTGCCAGGTAGATTGACATTATGAGTATAAAGAAATCCTTGTTTACTAGAGCTAGTTTCTCTCCTGTATCTGGGGACCATTATGTTACAAGCCAAGTACTGCAGTGAGTGAGTGAGTGAGTGAGTCAGTGAGAGAGAGAGAGAGAGAGAGAGAGAGAGAGAGAGAGAGAGAAACAGAGAGGGAGAGAGAGAGAGAGAGACAGAGAGAGACAGAGACAGAGACAGACAGAGAGAGAGACAGAGAGAGAGAGACAGAATTCTTCAGGGGCAGTTCTAAGTGGCTGGCAGGAATCTTATACCCTGGTTTGAGTATGTCTGAAAGATTAAGTAAATATTCATCAAATATATGTTGCTCGCTAAATGTTCAGACATCAAGTGTGTTATAAATGGGCATACTGTGGCAATTACAGCATGGTTAATGAAGACTTCATTATCCAGTAATCTCTCAAAAGCAACACAAATTTATTATTTGACTTTTACTTATAAGTACATAGATGAATATTGTTTTAAAATCTCATAAATTCTTTAGAAACTTTACATTATTTAAACAACCATTTTGTGCTGCTTTCCTTAAGAAATATTAGAATGGTTGAAGCCACCTGTTTCCCTTCATTGCAGTTCTCCAGAGGCAAGCCTCATTGTAAGCTTTGTGTTAATTTCTTTGCTCTGTTTTAATATCAATTTCTATTCTTAAGTGATACATTGTAAAACCGTAAGTTTTCAATGTTATGTAAATATGGCATACTTTATGTATTCTCTGATTTATCACCTGTCTTAAGTCTGCTTTAGGAGTTTACACATGTAGTCGTGTATAATGTAGATATATTCAGTCTTCTCCAGAGATGAGTATCAAATCTCTGTCCATAAAATTATTTCAATAGGCACCAGATTTTCTTCATGATAGAAATTGGAACTTTTATCATTTTCCTATTGCAAGTGAAGTTTCTTCTATTTCTAAGTTAGTCTACTGGTATATAGGCATACAGACTATTTAGAATTTCAATTTATAATTATTATTGTAGTGATAAATATTAATTTGTCAGTATGTACCTAATTATTTTCTAAATTATATTTGAATAATTAGGGCCTCAATACAGTATCTAAAATATGCACTCTGTACAAATTACTTAGTCATTGTCAAACTTAACTTTGTCACATTGGGATTATAAAATAATATTTCATTTTGTTTTAACTTCAACTGACATGATGAATAAATAGATTATAATTTATACTTACTTGAAAACTCTACAGTTCCACAATGATATAAAAATAGTTTTCATTTTTCATCCCATTTAGGATTTTTTGGGCTTTCTCAATATCTAGCCTAATGTTCTTTTTTCATGTCACTTAAATTCTACTTTGTATTTCATTTTGGGGTAAAAGCATACGATTTTCTCCATATATTTACTGCTGGTTATAGGGGATAACAATTTTTTAAATATTATGTTTGGATCTTGATACTTTGCTGGACTTTTTAGAAAATCTAAATGGGGTGGAATTTTAGGATCTTCACTAACAGAACCATGTCATCTACAAATAAAACCAAGCTGGCCTCTTCCTTACTTGTTTGCATTCTTTTAATTGTTTTCTCTTGTTTTATTGATAAAAGTCTTAATTCAATGTGAGTACAGATGACAGACACACCTTTTTATTTTTGATTTTATGAGAAATGCTTTGGATTACCTCTCATTCAGTACGATCTATTGGTGATTAGCTGTGTGTCTTTTAATTTTAGCTTTTATTTGGTTGAGAATTTTTCCTTCTCTTTTGAGTTTCTTCGGAGCTTTTACCTTGAAGGAGTGTTGGATTTTATCAGTACCTTCTTTGATCTAATTAGATGATTAAGGGATTTCTGTGCTTGAATTCATTTATTCCAGTTCAAGGGTATTTGACACCCTCTTCTTGATTCTGTGAGAAAAAGACACAGGAGCAGACAAATACACACACACACACACACACATACACACATTAAAATTAGCAAGAAAAAAATCAAGGTATGGTGGTGCACACCTTTTTCCCCAGCACTTGAAAAGAAGAGGTATGTGGATCTCTATGAATTCATTGCCAGCCTGGTCTATATTGTGAATTTTAGGACAGTCAAAGCTGCATAGTGAGACACTGTGAGATATTTGGGCATCACCCTAATTTTCACATAGCTTTTACTTAGTTTCTTCCTTGCTGTTTAGCAGACAATGCCAGTGTGGAGACTGCCTGCTTGAAAGGTCACCAAAGTACTTTTTAAAAGGAGAAAAATATTTTTGAGACAATGTATTGCCATAGTGAATATCTTAGGCTAGCTTCGAACTCACTATGTGGATCAAGGTGGCCTTAAATTCACAGACAGCTGCCTGCCTCTACCTCCTAAGTGCTGGGATTGAAGGCATTTATTATGAAGAAAGAAAATACCTAGAAGCATAGCAATTGTAGAAGAAGATACAGAATTACCTCTGTTGATAAGTTATATAAACATTAATCCAGAAAATCCAACATAAACCGTGATAAGACAATTAACAATGGTATATAAATTGTTAAAGAAGTCAAAGTGTCTCTCTTTGCAGATTACAAGATAGTATAAAATAGGAACTCCAAGTATTCTCTGAGAGAACAGTAACAGCTGATAAATAGCACCAGTAAAGTGGCTGGAAACAAAATTAGCTCTAAGAAATTGGTTGTCCTCCTTTATATAAATGATAAACTGGCTGAGAAAGAAAATAGGAAAACAACACCCTTTACAATAGCCACAAATAACATAAAATATCGTCTCTAACTCTAACCAACCAAGTGAAAGATCTGTATGACAAAAACTTTCAATCCCTGAAGAGAGAAATCAGAGAAGATATCAGAAGATGGAAAGGTCTCTCATGCCCATGGACAGGTAGGATAACAGTGAAATGATCATCTTACTAAAAAAAATCTACTGACTCAGTGCAACTCTCATCAAATTTCCAACACAAGTTTTTTGTTTGTTTGTTTGTTAATAATTTATTTATTTATTTTTTCAAATCATAATTCATTTACACAGGGGTTATAAACACAGAAATGCAGGATGTGGGGAAGGGGATGACTCTGGAGTGTGGGTGTTCAGGGGGAATACAGATATCTTTCAGAACAGGGTATCAGCTGCGTGAAGGTTCAGGGGACAGGTCACTATGACTCTGCCTATGATTCACTTGTCCTTATCTAAGTTGGTATCATCTGCCAAGACTATTTACAAGGTCTATGACTGTCACGGCCCATTCTGCTGCTCTGGTCCGTGGGTCAGGGTCTAGCAAGAGAGAGAGTGGGGACGGAGACAGGAAGAATGGAGACAAGACAGGGAGTCTGATCTGGAGATGAGACAGAGTCTGCTCTGGAGATGAGACAGAATCTGCTGAGTCTGCCGTGTTCTCTCCTCAAGTCTCGCCTTGATTCTTGCCTTTAATCTCTCCTTGAGTCTCGTCTTGAGTCTCGCCTTTAATCTCTCCTTGAGTCTCACCTTGAGTCTCTCAAGTGCTGGGATTAAAGGTGTGTGCCACCACTGCCTGGCCTTGATTGAAAGGATCAAGATAATTATCAGAGTGTGCTTAGCTGTTGTAGGCTGTTAAAAACAATTCTCTTGTCAGGTTATATGGCTCGAGATGGCTGTAAAGATGATAGCCACTTTTGGCTAGGTGTCTGCT